TGGCAGCTCAAAACAAAATATCTAATAGCAATGCAAGCGCGAGGGATGACTTTATATAAATAACAATAAATATATAAATAAAATATAAATAGTTCTTAGAAGGAAATGAGTAGACAAAAAAGTTGAAATTAACGCGAATTTAAGTAAGACATGTCAGTAGTCCTAATGAAGTATAATTGGTAATCGACATCAAGCTGTCAGAATTCTGTTTCTATCTATTCTTAATCTGAAATGGATGCAAATGAAGTCATATTTTCCGAGCACATGCATTAAGAAACCGCTCACCATGATTCCAATTCACTTGATACGTAATCAGGCAGAGCACTTGTCAGAACGCATAAAGTCCAAGTGAGATATTCATGGTTTTATGGATTCTATTATACATGATTGCTTCATTTAACTGAGACAAATTGGAGGAACAGATGTTCATGTTGTTCGCTCATGAAAAATGAATTGGGAGTTTCTAACTTTGTGAGAATTTGGATTCTTCAACTTATTGGTATGAAGGATTTTATTCAAAATATGAGATAGTCCTTGGTCATGCATATTAATTTTAAAAAATGAAAGAGTAATGCTGCGAAATGAAAGGTTTTGACTTAAATTCGAAAACTCTAGTTATACTATTATCTAAGCCAAGAGAAATAGTCATCTGGGAAATTCAGTTTGAATAAATCATACTTGATGTGCAGAAGCTGTGCATTTTGCTCATGAAGCGTAGACTCTTTCAAGCCGTGTAGCCCCCAGTCAACTTTTGGATTTAATCTTGATATGCAATTACAAGGTTGCATTGTGAATTTGCTCAACCTGGCATACCACTAACTTTCTTCCATCGTCAACTCGAAGCAAAAATGTCTCAATCAATCAATCATTTTACGACCATCAAAGTAAACTCGATCTGGAAAGTGTAAGGAGAATTCTATCGGAATTCTATCTATAGTGTATATCCCTTGTATTTGCGTCTTAATCAAAGTATATCTACTCTGCCTTTTTGATCTGTCTCTGATCTTCTTTCAGAAACCAAACTGTCACTGAGAACTCCGTGCAAACATAATAGCTAGTTCGGCAATCTACATTAAATAAAACGTTTTTTTGTCTAGAGATGTGAACACTTAAACACGCTTGTGTTGCAGCTTGATCAAGTGTTAATCGAAGAG